TTATTGCTGATAATCTTTTGTTACTGTCAATAAGTACTGAGTGATGATTGAAGGTGAAGTAAAAATTAGGACCGCAACCGGATTCGAACCAGCGACCACCGGGTGACTGAAGTGAAATAAAAATCTGGTCAGCAGTCGGACGTTTCCTCGCAGTTGATAGAGCACCAGGCCGGTGACCTGGTGGTCGCTGGTCCGAATCCTGCCGCGGCCCAAATTTTTATTTCACCTCTAATCATCACCCAGTATAAATATTAGTCTTCCAAACTACAGCTATCTAGGATAGTCAAATGACTGTCAATAAGTGTTGAAAGTTGCTTTACTTATTATGGTTGATTCAGCGCTTTGAATCAAATAGAACTCGAAGTTGTAAAATATTGTTTCAGGTTCGCTTAGTGAGTGAAAATCAATTAGTTGAAGGTCAAACATCAATTTTAAGGTTTATTCTTAGACACACATAGCTTAATTTCCGAGACAGGATCAACTGGTTCATTCACATTATGATATACCTGTCATCTGGTTTTCATTAAGTAACGGAACCCACATCTGGGCTTTCTAAAGCCATGACGGTATATAGTCTCATCCTGTGGCGCCAGCATACGGGTGCACCATTCACACCATTTGTTTGCATAAGTAAGCATGATTATTATTCTGATCAAGTGGAAGTGTACTCATATATGCCACCAATGTGAATGTTTAACTCTGTTGTAAACTCTCTTATATTCTGCAGATTATATTTGTTTGTATGTCATGATTTGAGGCTTGTGTTTCCTACTCTTACTTCAAAAAAACGTTGCAGGTTTATGTGAGATTTCAAGTTCTTGATACCCTTCCAAACTATCTCTCTCTTCATTCATATAGCCAGTCCTATAGATTGTTTCTCCTCTGTCGTTTTTATTTGATTACATTTTTACTTTCCAAAGCAGTTCATACTACAGATTAATATCATCAACTAGAGGATTATTGGGAACCAGGGAGTATCAGACAGTTGTAGGGTTTCATTTTGGGACTACTTATTAATGTATATCTATGACTTCAGAAGAGACTGAGTTCAGAGCTGTGTTATTTCTTGAAAGCAACATCATTCACCCATTACTTTGAAATCCGCTGACCAGGTATTGTCAGTTCACAACAGCGCTTTGTAATGTAGCGAATTGAATGCATGCATTCTTGTGGAAGCATATACGCTGTTGTGATTATCTATTTTTCTGACATACACTCGAAATCTTATTGACTGCTTTGTCTTCTCTACATAAATCTATACGCTTTCTTCGGCGTCTCTAACTCCTTGTATATCGTAAATATAGGTAGTAAGTTAAATTCCAAATTACCACTTTCATTCAACATTCACATCTTATGGTTGTAAGCTACAACAGGGTGAACTGTTGCATTGTTCACCACTGTTTGATGTGAGTTTTTGAAAGACTTTGTATAATAATTTTTTAACATTTCTATGAGTTTTTTGTATAGTAAAACAGAAAGTTGGGATGTTGATGAGTTCATGAGTTAGATCGTTATGATCAATCAAAGTCCCTTGGTTGGATTTTAGACTTATGTATACTTTGAATAGTCACTGACATTCTTTCTTGGGTTAACATTGTTATTGAATTCCTAGAATCATCTGAGTCAACTGCTTTGCTTAGACCATTCATCTATATGTGTTTAGGATTTCATATGAATTTGGGATCATAATTAAAGTTCTCTTTCTCCTTATATGGATCTAAGTTTACAAGTTTTACTTATTTTTACAAGCCCAACGTTTTTCATAATTTTCATAAGGATTTTTACAGTGAGACGAAATAGTGGTTCATTACCTCCTGGCTTTCCGTAGTTGGTTTTAGCTGATGCCCATCTATAAGGATAGCTTCACTGAAATCAGTCACTTCATTATGCGCTATTTAGTCTGATAATTAGTAGTAATAATAATAATAATAATACATATCAATCCAGTAAACGTTTATTTGGCTATGAACCATGCTTATTGCGTAGCTGCTTTGGTCAGAGTATTTAGGAGAAGCTACGAACCCTAAACGCATTGCCAGTTGCTAGTGCGCTAAATCTTAACCAATTGATTAGAATTATAGAACTTACTGAACATGTAGATGTTCGTTTATTAGGGTATGAAAGGGTTAACACTATTGTGATGCATAGGACGAATTGCATCGAATGAATTTGATCATGTGAGTAAACTTTTGTAAATCAAATGTGTAAAATACGGTTTTGTTTTGTTAGTGAAGAATGTAGACGGAGCGAATGTTTATCAATTTGTAGTTTTTTTTATATAAAACAGTCTAAACGTGTATATTTTAATAGTGTTTCACATATTTGGCTTGTAACGAGATATTTGTAAACAAGATTGGTGGACTAGTTCGTCCCTCCTCCCCCATCATCCATTTTCTACACTTCATACTTTCGTGCAACATCGATTTGTGATGAAATAATTGAAAGAGACGTTTTTATTGTTGTGTTCTTGACTCGACGATCTGGCCATTGTTGCTGATTCTAACCTTAACTGGTTCTGTTTATTTTCATTGCTACTGGGTTGTGATTTTCCGGTTTGAGTCTTTAGTCACTACTGCTACATCCACTGACTCAGATAGCTCACAATGAATAACTGTGTATTTTATAAAACTCATTGAAAATCTGGCAAAGGTAATGAAGATAAGTTTACTCACTACTGATGGCATCAAGTATTTGATTATTGCTCTCTGTTTCCTGTAAGGGAATGTAGATTTCTCGGTTAGGATTCGTGTGAAAACAGAAATCGGTGGTTGGAAACTAGGCGATATGGTCCAGGCATCAATGTATGAAGTCTTTGACTGTTGGTTTGAGCCATGTGGGTCGATGTAGACTAGCCGGTTGAGGTCCGCGAGACAAGAGAAACCATTGGTTGGAGACTAGGCGATATGGCTCAGAACCGTTGTCAGTGGCGCAGATGTATATACACATTATCCTTATCTTAACACTATACCGAATCTCACCATTTTCTCATTCTTCCTTTCTCTTTTTAGTACTACTTTCTGCTTTATTTCTCTGTCTCTCATCATGGTGTCTTGTACCTTGATAAGTCTCTGTGATGTTTGGCAATTTTCAACCATTATGGAGTATTTCTAAGATGTGCGTTTGTACTGGCTGATTATTGATTAGTTATTATTCTCACTCAGCTCGCTTCGGAATACAACATTTTTAGTATTCAATGTTGAAAGTCAATTCAAAAGATACTTTGAATTTTCGTCACATTTTTTTCAATACATTGACAAAGTTAATCTGCAATATTAAAAGGACTCCGGAACGGTGACTCTAAAGACCACCCCAGCAACAACTGAAATGACTAATTCGACTTTTTCTGTTTTATGAAAGTCTGCTTTTCTGGCAGCAATAAAGAAATTTGGTTTTTATTTCACTCGTTGCTAAGGTGACTTTTAAATTTACTCACTGCGGAACCCTGAGTATGTCTAAGTCAATATGGTAGTCAGAATTCGCTACAATTGAACTACTTTGGCTGCAACTGATTTCGTATATAACTGGACCGTGTATACTGATAGGCTACTATCTACTGACCAAAGCTCTTACGTAATTCCTTCGGTCACATAAGTCTATAGATCACGGCGTGCAAAGTTCCTTTACTGATAGGTGCTCATTTCATATTTGTACGATCAAGATGTGAAGTCTCCAGTTTTTTGACTTAGTCATTCGATGAAGTCCAGTTTTTTCTGAAATTGAAATCTGTTGTTACAGACACCATAATATCCGTTGTTTGGAAACCGTTAACTTTAAGTTCTATCTCTTCTTTGGTTGGATAATTAGTGTACCGGTACCATCAGAGAAATTCTTACCCCTTTTTTTATATGAGACTGTGCATAGTAACCTCAGTTCCGTTTGGTGGATTGTTGTGCTGAGTCAAGGTAATAGTGAATCTCGACAACTTGTTCGAGGATTGTAACATTGTTCATTAGGTGCTATTCGACGGCTGACCAGTGTTTCCGTACGTTTTCCATTTTCATTCAATAGACTACTTACAAATATGAAAGTTCAAATAATCTAATTTCAAGCCTCGTAGCTCAGTTGGTAGAGCATCGGACCGGAAACCCGGTGGTCGCTGGTTTGAATCCGGCCGCCGTTAAAATTTTCATTTCACCTTCAATCATCATCTAGTGTGAGTTTCACGTGGTTTCATCTGTGAAGTTAACCATATGTGATATGAAAACTGGCACTCATCAATGACATTGGTTGTGTTATACAACAAACTGGGATAAGTAAAAAAATGTCGACCATCGAATTCCAATCCACTAATAAATGGTAAGGTACCCACAGCAGAATCTAATGTTTGTAAGCTCGATCCGAAACTACGACAAGACATTTGCTTAGTACTCCAATGTTTTTAATGATTATTGGATAATACCTCCGTGATGAAAACCACCTTGAAATTTAGAAGTGGTGCTTATTATATGGTATTCGATATATTTTTTTTTAATGCAGACCAGTTGTTATTTAGTGCGGTGCTAAGGGAGGGGGTTGGATTAGATTTGAAGAGGGTTCAGAGTGGCCAGATCAAGATGTGGTACTAGTCTCTACCTGTTAGTCTTTTTTGTGTAGGGATATAGATGTAGACTCCTTGGCTGAGGCCCCGAGACGATAGGAATCAGTGATTGAGGCGTCTTGGTGAGATGGCTGAAAATCGATCACAATATCGCTGATGTATATTCACTCCTTGATATCTTCTAAAGCTTGGATATTTGCACTAAGCTTTATCTTCAAATTGTTTATTCCCTCACATTACTTTATGTCTTTTAATATCAGTCTTTTTCTATCCATCTATTCTTTGTATACTGTTGAGATGTGGCAACGTGGACAGATGAACTTATGTGCCACGCTTTATATTGATTTTGTTTGACTCTGCCTGATATGAAATCTGAATCCTCAATTGTTTTAATGATAAAACTGTACATACATGCCGTTGTTAATGCAGTACGCTGAAGTTATTTGTTTCCTTTTTTGTGAAGGTCGTGTTGACTTGGAGCATTGTGAATGTATTGTTGAGAATGCTAATATTGGTGGTCAACCGTGTGCATTTTCATTGACCACACTGTTTAATGGTCATAAAAGAATTTATTATTTTGTCGCTGCTAATAATAAAATAATGTCTGATTGGGTGCATCATCTGGCACGTGTTGCTGAACTAGTCGATTTCTCGACTACAAGTACAGGTTAGATTTTTCCTTCTTATTCTTTTCTTTTATTTCATTTTAGGTTTCATTTTTGGTTGATTTGTTAGTAGTATTTACTACAGATGTATAAATAATTACATAGCTATAAGAATCACAGACTATCAGACAACTGTTCTACTTTATTTATACTCCGCTGTAGTTGAACCTTATTTCCAAGGAATTTGCCTTTAGGAAGTTGATTGAAAGCCTTGCATGCTTATGGATTGGGTAGAGTAATATTATAAAGTTTTATTCTTTCAGTCCTCTAAATAAACTTTTTAACTTCAAGCATGTAGTCAGTATTATGGAACTTTAAAAACAAAAACAGAATTTATATTATGCAAGTAATTAGTTGTCGGTCAGTTGCAATAACTATAGACCATGCTTTATACAGCATACGTTTTCTGAACATCTTGTTTGAGCACCACTCATCATGCTCAAGTGCTGTTATTTGGTAACTATCTTTGACACAATAAGAATTTAGACCTGCCAACGTTTCGGAACCATTGATCTCTTGAAACTATCACTCTAAGCTAAGGATTTTGGACAATTGTTTTCCTTCTGTCACCATCGCTGGTGTCTATTTCCTTTCACTGAGTGAGAATTCTCTTCATATTCCATTGATGTTCATTTGTTTTCAATCCTGATGGCGATCATCGTACAAGTATATGCTTTAAAACACCCATGTGCATGTATATGTGTGTGCAGATGCATCATATATTCACTAGTCAACCTACTTCGGTTGAGCAATAATTTCTGTAAACAAAATGGGTCTCAACAAAGCGTTTAATGTTTATCAGAGCTCTTTAATCACACTTACGCAGTCATGTGATGGCTTACAAACAATTGCCACCCTAGAGAACGGCGTGCCTCTATCTTTCCAGAGATCGAATAACTATTCGGGAGGGACCTGACAATATTAGGGTATGTAGACAATATAGTCTTGTCTGGTGAAGGTTCTGATACAATGCTGGATTTTATGAACGCCACTAACAAAATTCCTTGTACGCTTAGAATACGTTTCGCATCTGTAAAATGTAAGGTCGTGTTTTAAAACCTGTATACACTGATTCCACGTTTACGCATATTGAGTTAATTGGAACATTTAATCGGTAAGTTGCATCAGCGCCAATGGTGCCAAATCTCAGCTGAGGTAAAAAAAAAAGTGCTGTTCAACATTTGATTTTTGTGAAGCTTACTTTTATTCCACTGTTCAATTTGGAAACTGTGTTTGGTTCCAACTACGAGAGGATAGATTTATTAATGGTTGTACGGACTAACAGCGAATGAAATGATCGGAACATGTATTGCATCAGCTCGATAAAGTCTTTTTCGATAATATTGTCTAGATGAATGGGTATATCGGAAAAATGTATTTGTTTTGAGATAATTACGTGATCCTAAATGAAAATGTCATTTTCTGTACCGAATTCATTATATGCCGCTAATTATGAACTGAATTTCCATCCTTTATTACTATTTTTATCTGACCTTTTATTGTCGTATTTACTGTTCTTCGCAACTGTCACATCATACCATGAAATATCGCCTTTTATTTTTTTCATTTTTCCTTCGAGACTGTAATAAGTGGTAACCATGTTTTCTGAAGTAATTGCTTATTTCATGTCTGTTTGGAGTGTTTACCCTTCCCCTTCATTTTATTTTATAGCGCTATACATTTATGGTTTAAGTTCGTTTTTTTCGTATGCACCGCACATTAACTGAGAATGATAAGCGTTTTAGCACACAATATAATAAGTTATGGTATATCGAATCCTGAAAGCTAAGATAAAGAGAAATATACAGCCTTATATTGTTGTGTTGGGACGTCAAATGAGCTCTGGTGGTAGATCAATGACCGACAAATTCTCTGTACGGATACAGAAGGCTCGATTGGCTTTCGCCAACTCTTGCCACTTATGGCAACACCGCGATATGTAACCATCTATTAAGAGTCAAGTGAACTACGCTGCAGTTTGCTCTGCCCTACTACATAGATGTGAAACATTGTCATTGCTCGTAGAGGACATGAGAAGGATTTAGGTATTTGATCACTATCGTCTTCGTTTCATTGGCTGTGTATCGTGGTGTCACCACATCAGCAAAGCAGTAATCAGGTGCAGAGTTCTAAGTAGAAAAGAAAAATCAACTGATGAGGTCATGAACGTTCATCGCCTGATGTGACTAGGGCACACGTTACGCATATCTGGTCACCGCCTACCCATCCATGCAATTTTAACTGAAGTAGGTTCAGACTTAAAAAAAGGTTAGGGCAGGTCAGACTAAAACATGACATCAGTTTATGAAGTTTTTTATCGTTGATCTAAGCTGTAGAAAGCTATTTAGACTTATCAGTTGGAGTCCGTGGGACAATAGAAACCAGTGGTTGGAGATTCTAGATGATATGGCTCAGAATCGATAGCAGTGGTGTAGTTGCATCCACACGTCATCTTAATCGTCATACTGGACTTTAGTATTCTGTCATTCCCCTTTTACTTTCTTTTGGTTATTTTCTACTGGTTCTGACTGCTTTCTTTATTTCTTCATTTTTCGTCTTAGTGAATTCTTGCTTGATGTGCTGACATATGGCTGATATGGCAACTTGGATTGTTAAAAAAAAATGCCATGTCGCACGTTGGTGCTGATTGACCATGGTATCAGTTGTGCTGACAAGTACTTCCCTTTTGTAACAAATGTATGCTCTCTGATAAAAGCCAATCTCGGTTCTTTCTTGTATGTTATTCTTTCGTCGTTCTACTATCTTTTGGTCGTTTCATTCAACTAATATACATATTTTTTTCATATTTGAAGAGGTCAATCCTACCGATTCAGTTGGGAACAATATTGGTCTTAGTGTACCACCCTTATTTCAAAGGCCAACAAAAACATCTGTTGATAACAGTGGTTCACATCCTATAAATTCAAGTTCTGTAGATGGAAACAAATCGCCTATTAATCAGATTAATTCCCAACAATGCCAGCCATTTAATGATGACGATGGGGAAGACGACTACAAAGATGTAGTCGGTGGAGTAAGTAAGAGTATTTGATAATATGCATCTGTTTACCTTTGTCTTCCTTGAAAAAGCCTATGTTATGCAAGTAATATCATCCAGATTAGTACATGGGATCAGGTTTAGGAACATGTGCTTCTGCGTTTTAGTGGATGGTATAGCCTGGGTGCACTTGATTCTAAAACTATCAAGAGCTTTAAGTTCTTCATGATTGCACATACGTTTTTCTAGAAGTTTCAGTAAACGTAAAACTCATATCAAGTGAATGATGACTTTCTCTTCACCCTGCGCCAAATATTGCAAGGAATAGAGTAAATGCATTGAAAGATTTATTGATTCAATTTGAGCAAAGAAAATAAGGTTGACTGTAGAGTACTAGACAAGAAGGTCAAGTTAGTTAATGAGATTGTTAAGCTGTACAGATTGAACGGACCAGGATTTTGATCACACATTTTTACCCACTGTTTTCCTTGATAAGCTGAAGTAGGGTAAGGTGGAAAGAAAGCTTAAAGTGACGATACCAAGACATATTGTGAGTTGACTGATTTGTATTCCAATCCACTGGTTCGATGCTCAAAAGTTCGTCGTGGGACTTGGCGGTTCAGAGTCACATTCCTCACAGGTTCATGGATTCATGTTACTTGTGAAGTCGGAAGGTAGGTCGTAGCAGCTGTTCATTCCTCCTACCTGTAAAGTTGTTCTCCAACTAACATCAGTTTCTAGTGAATGCTACTTTAAAACACTGAACTGTATTTAATTTGAGTGGAAATAATAAAAGTGAAAATACACTAACTGTAAACACAATAAGGAAGCAACGATCGAATAATAAAAAAGATGAATTTTTATTATAAGGGCTGTCGGGAAAAGGGGAGTTGGCCGGCTGTCCTCTTACTGTTTAATCTCATTGTAATCTTCATTGTAAATACTCATGCAAGATATAAATGACTTCACTTCTTTGCGGTGCTAAGCAGTAAATGATATCCAAACTGTTGTGGAAAGCTCAACTCGTAGGATATGATACCTTCATGTTACTACTAGTTACAATATTTTAAGTATGTAGAATCAATTAAGAATTTGATATGAAAACATACACATGTATCTTCATTCAGGTGAATAGTTTAAAACAGAGCGAACCTCGCAGTTTTTAGTACACAATACTATGATATAACAAATTCTATTGTTTTCATAAAGTTGCAAAGTTAATACTCTACTCTACGCTGTTCATTTATTTATCTGGGGAATTTTCAACTCAAGTTAAAATGTATCTCATGTCATTGTGGTTTTCAATAAGTTTTTTTTTGTAGACAAACATTGTTTTTCATAATATTTTTTCAATGTTAAAATTGTACTCGACAAATTTGGGGTACAGCTAAATGCTTCGTGTGTGATCTGAACTTAATCAATTCTATCTACTGGGTCTGTCGGTCATTTTAATGTTGCATCGACAGTGATGTAATTAAACTCGATTTAATTTAAATAACCAAGTCATTGTGTGGATATTTTTGGTTATTTTTGGTTGTGGTTGTAATCACCTGAAGATGAACTTAGGAGAAAGCAAACAAAATGGCTTATTCAACGAAAAGGGGTGCCAGTATCTATGCTAATGCTATTTTTGTCATCTTAGATACTCACCAACATATGTATTTCAAGCTTTGTTGTGTACAGAATGGATCTTCCAAGTTAGTAGTTTCTTCTATTCAGTCTGCTTGTTTCAGTTTAAACGTTAGCTATAATCGCTCAAAATGGATTGAGGGACGATTATACTAACCAATATCATTTGTTAAGAGTTTATTTCAAATGACCTGCCATTCAACATAACCGCGGGTATATATGCTTAGATTTTAGTAAGGTAAAAGCTTAGTAATTTCGTAGTAATAGCATTTACTTGTTCACCTGTACATCCCAAAGCACATACATTGGAAAAGTATATCTGAGTATATCGCCTGGAATTCGCAAATAAGAGGTAGAAAAGTCTTCAACAGTGCTATTGCTCGTCATCTTATTAATGATGTACATGAATTCAATATTCAGAAATCGTTCAAAATAATTAATAAGTAGGTGGATTTGAATTTATTGTGTTTTGCTGAAGCGTTAGTCATTAAACGAATAGAATTGAACTTACACGTTCAGAAAGAAACACTTATCAGTCTCTACCTACCATGGTAAGGACTTTTGTTTTATTGTGGTTTTTAATTTGCTTTTGGCTGGTAGAGGAATCCAGGACGCGCGTTTCGTTCTACTTGAGACTCGTCAACTGGATGTACCTGCACCCCAGTGAGTGATGTTGTCCCCACAGAGACTCGAACCTCGTACCCATCGCTTCTAACCCCTAAGCGTTATTCACTAGGCCACTAAAGCATGATAGCCCTCGTTTGTACGACGAGCATTAATTATTACATGTCACTGTGGATTCATGGAGGTTGCCACTTTGTTATTTTACATTACACGCCCTCGACCTAATTATTGAATTCTACTCACAGTAGCTTTTAGTTAACGTCAATCTTATGACTTTTAGAATATTTCAAGTTGGTATTCATCGTAGACTGACATCAGTTTAGGGAAAAATGGAAACCTGGGAGCACTGGACAGCTGTTTCATCCTAGTATGGGACTCCTCAGCAGTGGGCACCCACGACCCTTCCAGGGATCAAACCTGCGATCTTCAGGTCCCGTGACCAGCATGATACCATTGAGCCACTTGGTCGGAATCTCATGGTCCATATTTCCAACTTCTGTCGGTTCACAACATAGTGCAACCGCCACCCAATGTCAACGTTGAGTATTTGTCCTCACGGCCACTAAGTTTTCCCCACTGGTCACGACTTCTCACTGGGACTTCGGGAATCACCTGTTGAAGCTAGTAAACCTCCAGATAGAATGCTGTTTATGTTGTTTTAGATTGTAAAGAGCTTATGAGAAACCGTGAAATTAAACGGATCCATGCTATTCTTCTAAATCTGTTGTTCTTGCTGTACTTGCACTTAGTATCCTATTAGTAGCAATCATTCAAGCTAAAATGCGTTTATTTGATATCCATTGTAATGTAGTATCACAAGCAGTGTGAGAAACCTGGCAGTTATGGCTTGTAAAGACAATTCGTTTTCATACTCTTCATTTACGTCTGTGAATATGTGGATCGTGGCATTTGTCTTTAACAATTTCCAGATTGCCAACCCTTGTAAGGTGAATGTTACTTCCTAAGTCATGAGCTAAATAAGTTATACACGAGAACACGTTACTAAACTAGCAGTCAGCAGAACATAATTCGAATGCCTTACTCTGTCATTCACTGTAGACTAATTTCGCTAGTAATATGATGGAATGAGCTGTGAAACAAATGATTGCACTAAATTCCATTCAGTGTATGTCTAATTAGTTCTTTGATGTGGTAGTGATATTCTACGGGAATTTTAAAGTATTTAATATTCTTAATGACAACAATCTTTTTTGTTTTTTTCTTCTATTTCAATGTTTTGTTTATTCAAATGCCTCAGGGTTAAACTCTTCTTATCTTTAAACTCCTAATCAGGTCGATTATTTGATGTCTGGTTCCGAATTACTGGATGATTATCATCATGTGAGTTATTTATGATTAGTCGATTTTTAGTGAGGTTTTGTCTTCGTGTTATTGCTTGTATTAATTATCCTACTGTTGATCGGAACGAATTGTTCGGTCCCTATACCACCACCTACCAAGGCTTGGACATTTAAGTAGCATCATTTGTTTTTGTATAATAGATTTTGGTAATTGCTTACTGTATGAACGTGCACAAAATTGTTATTTCCATCGCGAGACAAGTGGTCAATATCGTTCAATCTAAGATTCTGTTATTGAGTTGTATTTGTTATCTTTATCATCGTTTTTTTGATGTGTAAAATGAAACTGCGTTGTCTCTTGTCCGATTTTATGACTTTAGATGCTTGATTAATTTTTATTGAATTATGCCAATTTTATAGTTGAAACATGAGAATGCTTGTAGACGTTCAAATGCACTACATGCCATTTCATTCTGTGTTGCTATGTTGCTGTGAAATGTAACCACTAAAGATGGAGGATTTTTATAGGCTCAACGTATTTTATTACCGATGCCTATGTGGTGTGACTCACATGTGGTGATGGGACGATAAGGTTAGCCAATCCAGAGGATAAGTAAGATAGAGAAGTCAGTTTGTAAGTCTATGAATCCTCATGGACTGAGGTTATATATATATATATATATATGACATTAGTTGAGGGAACCATTGAAAATCTGAGAGCACTGCACAGCCGAAGTGAAGTGAATGGCAACTGAAGACCTTGGTTGATTGACAGGCTATATCATGAGTTGACAGAAACAGGAAATTGTCGACCATTGAACTTCGACCCGGTGGCTGAATAGTTAACGCGTTTACCTTGAAACCTGAAGGTCCTGAGTTCGACCCCAGTGTACGGTCATGAGTTCACACTACTGAAAAGTCCCACACTCAACCGAAACAGCTATGCAATACAACCTTAAAAACAAAATCCCCATAGACCTCAAGCTATATATATATATATATATATATATATATATATATATATATATATATATATATATATATATGTATATATATATATGGTTCTATAAAACGAGACTTAATCCTCTTTCTATTCAGACTGATTGCATATATTCAGCATAACTTTTGTGTTTGTTATCATTCTGATTTTCGATTAAACATATTCGACATTGAAACATCATGTTTATCGGTTGAATAAAAGTGTATTTAATTGTTTACGCAAAATGACACCTATTTTTGAAAGTGAAAATTGTTGGCACTTTTTGAATTCTCTGTAGGTATAAGCTGTTTAGTCTGTAAGAACCTGATGTGATCTCAGTATAACATAACCATTCTTGATGAATTTGGTTTGTACACAGGCGAACAATGTTTATGGTATTAAAAGCTTGGGATTATTTGGGGAAGATATTTTGAAGTTTGGGTGTATGTATGAGTCTTACCATGTATATGCACAGTCTTGAATGCTCGAAGCACAAGATGACAGTTTGCTGTGCACGCACAATTTATCATTATCATTTACCCTTTGGGTTCCTAGAGGAACATAGGGCCTCAGTAACACGTCGCAATTTCACTCTCTTCTCCGCGGTCTTTTGAACCTGACTTTGCGATTGCCCGTAAGCTTTCATCTCTTCCTCACACGATCTCCTCCATGTCACCCTCGGATGCCCAACTCATCGTTTCCACTTTGGGCTCCACACGGCAACCTGGGCTGACCTGGCGTATGATGTCAGCAATCGACCTTCTCAGTGTATGCCCAATCCATCCCCACTTTCTTCTACATATTTGTTGGGTGATGGGTTGTTGGTTGGTTCGTTGCCAGCCAGCCAGAGTTCCTTGTTGCTTATTCTTTCTGGCCATGTAATCTGCGGTGTCAGTATCGAGTGAGCTAGCGTAGTCGGCAGCTGTTGATGTGATGTATGTCTGCAGTTTGTTGGAAATGCTTTTCGTGACGCGCCGCCAAGTCTCTGCCTTATCATATAGAAGCACTGACTTGATTAAGTTATTTTTGAAGAGTGGGATCTTGTTCTTTATGCTGAGTGCAGTAGATCTCCACACTGATTTAAGGCTGATAGAGGCCTGTCTTGCTGTCTTTTCGATCCTGGCTTTGACATCCTCATGTGTGCCACCTATAGTTGAGACGAAGCTGCCTGCTTAGGTAGGTGAAAGAGACAACTTCCTTTATATTTTCTCCCGTTGATGGTGATTGGCGCTTGTTGTTGTTGTTGATGGTGGTGGTGGTTGTGTATCTTCATCACCTTCGTCATCTCTACGTTCACCTGAAGGAAGTCCCGTCGTTACTGCCTGGCCTCTTCTGCTAACTTGTTGGTTTTTGCCTGTAGATCTTCGAGTTTGTACCACAAGACATTAAACATAAATCATTGGCGAAATCCGAATCTCCTTGGGTCTTTTCACCGGTCAACAGCATATGCCCCTCTTCTCGGTCCTGACAGTTTGTTGTATGATCCAGTGCAGTCCAGTCCAGTCGATCACAATAAGGAAGATGATAGGTGATGGTAAGCAGCAATCTTGTCTTACTCCTGTCTTCACTTCAAAGTTATCACTGAGCTTTCCACCATGAATCAGTTGACATGTAGCATCATGTCGCATATAGCTGTTGAATGAGGTTGATAAAGGTTTGTGGCACTAAAACTGTAGTGTTGAAGCAGTTGCCAAATGACTTCTCGGTTGACGCTATCGAAGGACATTTCGAAGTCGATGAACGGGTCATCGGATAGTAACCGGTGTACTCGCCTATCGTTGAAGCTTATCAGAGTTTCCCAGCCATGTTTACAGTTCAGCTGTTGAAGTGCACTATGTTCAATGTTACTTGTGTGAAATCATTTACGAAGAAGTATTGACACTTATTAGTTGTACAGTCTCTGACGTTAACAGTGATTTACACAGGATTGAATTTCCTGGAATATATGAGTTTTTTTTGTGGTTGTAAATGTGATTTATTGATGAGTGAAAACAAATGTAAAAACTAGGTATCTGGTTTGTTATCGATAAAGTTCAAATCGCTAACATTGTGTCAAAACTCGACCGAACAGACTATGTACTGTCGATTTGTAACTAATCTCAGTACAGTGGTTCGAACTTGACACTCGAAAAATAAATCACATTGAAATTCACATGTGGCGTATGGTAATTGAAAGGTAGTGCTTGGATTATTTCCCAGTGGAATTACAGCTTATGGTTTGTAGTGTTTAATTATGTCGTATCAGTTGTATGTCTGCATGTCGCCTCAGGAATGAATACATTATTAATTCACTGGTTTTGGTGAATTATTTGCCAGGGACTCAGAAAAGAAACTATTTGATCACATCTAATGTATCTAAGATGCTTCACAAAATGTTTTAATGTTGACAAAAGTGTTTTAGCGGAAAGTCAACAATTCTACAAAAGATACCTAATGTATTCAAGACCTCATAGATAACAAAGAGTATGCACAACTCTACCACTGTGACCGATTTGACTCCATATCAGCAAGAGTACCTAACCATTGTTACTTGTAGTCTCGAGAACCCCTGCCAGACAGCGTACATCTCTACACTGCTCAGAACAAGAGATGAAGACTCATCTCACATCTTGATTTGACCGCCATCAGCCGTTTTCAAACCCAACGTTACTTCGACTGGCATCACACATCGAGATACGCAGTGGCTCGTTCATGTCCGGGCCATTTCAATCACTAAAGGTTAACAACCTCATCCACTGATGTGCCCTGTTTCTCTAATGCCGTCTACCTAACTTTACCATTTCTCACTTACTATTCTGCCACACGCAAGCGATAATGTGAAGACACTTGTGGTCAAAACTGTAATGTCCGCGTATCTCCCACGTCTAACAGCCCTATCTTAAAGCCATATAGTAGGGCAGAGCAAACTGCAGCGTAATATACTCATTCTTTAATAGGTAGTTGGATATCTCGTTGGCGCCAGAGATGATGCAGGTTAGCAAATACAAAACGGACCTTCTTTATGCGAGCCAACCCATTTGAACTGAGGCATCTCAAAGTGAGTAAGGTGGTTGACACATTCTACCACTTTGCTCCACATCATTAAACTGGCAGTCGGTTTAGACCAGTTCAGAGTCATTGTCTTACATTTGACATGTGTAAAACACGTCCCAATCACAGTCAGATTTCTCAAAGTGTTCAGAAGACTGCATTTTTTCAGCGTCTTCGCCTAACAGGACAATGTCATCTGCGTACTCCAAGTCAACCAGGTGCCGTTCTGGGAGTTAGTCAGTCCTAGAGATTTCGAAAATGCCTATGGTTATTTCCATTAGCATGTCTATAACAAGGTTAATCAAGAACGGTGACAACAGGCATACCAGTTGGACAACACTGGTTGTCGTCATAGCGTTTGACAACTGCCTTATATGGCTGTATGAGTTTGAGTATAGAGCTTTTTCTGGAGTTTGTTGTTCTCGATCTCCGACTAGTCGTAGTATAACCATAAACTTTAGGATCTTGGACACGATATAGGTCACTAATTTTCCAGTGGGTTGTCTCAAAAAGACTTCTCTTTCTTCTTATAGACTAGAATAATTGATAATCTAGATCAGTCTGACGGGGAAAACTGGTTCCCATACGGTACCTATTACCTGCATCAGTCTACTCAGTAATTTCCCTCCTTTTTCAAAAGCGTATGGTATCGGACTTTCAGATCCTGCTGCTTTCAGGTTTGAAGTATAACTTCCTAACTTTAGTGATAGTGAGAGGGTCAACATCTATGTCCCATTCACTTTCGGGCTGTCTGAATGCAGGGCTACTAAAGCCTCTGATCCAAGATGTATCGACGGACCAGTATCCTTAATAAGCTAAAATAATCACTGACCATTACCTAATACTGATGCCTCCTCGATTTATCTTACTTTCGCTAAGCGCCACTACTCATGATCATTGCAAAGACTCTTAGTCATTTTAGGATTAAGTTACTTTTTCCCTTCATCGTGGTGGGATCCGGCTAGAATGAGTCTTTAGTCATTGATCAGTTCAGTTGTGGAAATCTATTTGCGTTTGCTAACCTTTCAACG